TTAAAAAAAAAAAAAAAAAAGGTAAAGCGTGACAATTACGTGACAGGGTGGGAAAATTAAACAGCTGAAGTTGACTCCTTAACCTTGAGAACAATTTACTTGTATGCTACTGAAGCAGTGCTTAGAAAAATGTATTTTGACATCTTACTTGCTTGCAATAAGGTCTTAGGAATTTGTGCACTGAATATTAAGTGAATTCCAGAAGTCAGAGCCTCTGCCTACAGGTAAAAGGCACTTTTATTCTCTATGTTCAGCAACTTCCTTGTTTTCCTTTAAGGAGTTCTACACTATTAAGCAGTATATGACAAATGTCGGTTTCACATTGGCACTTCTGAATTACAGAACAAAGAAAACGTCTTTCCCAAGATAAGTCAGATATGTCTGTAGCTATGGAGGAAGGAGATGCTGTCAGGCAGGTAACTACAGCAAAGTACCATCTGCCCCTACCATCTTACCTGCATGAACTATTACCATCAACTTTCTTTACTGTTAGTTTAAGAGTCCTTTACAACAGCAGCCAGCAGGCCGAACAAGAAAAGACAGAAAAAAAATCAGACAGGAGCAAAAGAAAGACAGAGGCAGAAAGGTCATGTTTATGAGGGGGCAAAGTTACAAATCATACATTTATTTTCAAAATCAAAAGAATGATAGTGTACAAACTTAAAATGGAGAAGCTGACTTCTAGGGATACTACTTTGTCACACATGTGATATGAGCTGTTTGGATCAACCAGAAGTGGTAGTCACCTTTCAACATTTAATAGTAGTCAGCAATTCAATTACAAACCTAATCTTATTTACTTTTTAGTGATGGGAGTCACAACATTAACTTTATTTTAAATGAAGGATTTGGTTCATGTTTATCCAGCACTAACCATGGTAATTAAACTCCACTGATGCTTTTGCACACAGATTTTATAGCACATATGAAATTAAAATATTAACACGCATGAAAGGATGTTAACATAAGATAGCAGCCACAAAGGCAAAGGTAGCAATACAGCAATGGAGTCAGGGGTCAGGGAAGAACTAGTGCCTCACAATGGCATTAAAAAAGCAGAAATAGAAATATTTCTAATCTGGAGATATTCTTACCCTTCTTTAAGAAGTATGGGTTGCTCTATACTCTTGTGGTCTCTCCTTCCAGAAGATGAAATCAAATCTAGGAACTTGAAAATGGACAAAGTGTGCAGATAAAGTAATTCAGCAACACAAGCCAGAATTTACTGTTTCATACACATATTATTGTGATAGCATTAAAAAAAAGACTACAGCACAATGTGGGAATCTGCAAAGGTTTCCTGGCCTGCAAACTAAAAACAACAAATGGAAGAATGTTCCTAACCGCAAAATGTACACACATGTACTCTTATCTCTTCTTTATGCTTTTGCTTGATTACTCACCATCCTTTATTTCCTCTTGGACCAGACTGTGCTCAGTACAGGGTTGCAGGGAACACAGAATGTGCACATATATTAATATCTAAGCTACAGCAAACTGACTTTTATACATTGATTTTTAGGAACACCAATTCTAACAGTTACTACATAACATTTATGATTCTAAATATCAGCTTGAATAACCTAATAAAATAGTCTATGGATTGACTTATATTTACTTACATTCTTTACTGCATCTGCATATTTTTGTTCATTAAAATAGTCATAAAAAATAGCCATGTAGGACTCCTTGAAGCTGGCCTGAAATGGAACCAACAGTCAATACATCATACGGTACTACCTATAACCACAGTGCCATCAGCAGAAGAAAATAAGAGTGAAACAATCACCATTTTTTACTATATTCAAAAAGAAAAAGAGCCTGAAGCTACTCTCAGGCTGCTTGGATGCACATTCTGTACTTCCCAGGAACCTCTTAGGCCAGTGGTTTTCAATCTTTTTTCATTTGCAGACCCTTAAAAAACTGTGAATGGAGGTGTGGAGCCCTTTGAATTGTAAGTGTGGGTATTCACATATTTTTTTTATTGTCATCTTTCACAGACCATAGGTTGAAGACCACCGTCTTAGACAAAAGTAAGCTATACTACTGCAAAAGTCCAAGTTAGCATTCCAAACGCTGACTCAATTCACTCTATTTGCCATTCGCATTCTGTACAAGCTTCAAATCTTCTTTCTGATCATGTTTCCAAAATAAACAGGCAAAACTACCAGAAACCCTGGAATCTGATAGGCTCAAGGGATTTGTAAACCTCTAAAATTCTCATAAAAGGTTGCTCAGTGAATCCAGACTAGTCAGGAATGACTGAAAAGCCATCACCTGATAACTATTTGATTTCTATTGGAGAGATGTCCATAGCAAAACCACCATCCACTATCACCACTAACTGGCAGAACTGGATAGACATACAAAGTATACTAGCTTTCACCATTAGTGATGGTTTCTTGAGCTTAGAATTTAAATATACCGCTGAGGCAGTGTGGAAAATCCTGCAGAACAACTACTTAGTGCTATACCTCGTTTTCCACGGGCTAAGAACCTTAAACACTACATTTTCCCCAAAAATATTTGAAGCAAAGGCTTACAATAAGACTCTGCTCTAGGAATATATAACTTATTTTTATTAACACATAGTTCATATGAATATAACCTTAAGTTTTTGCCATCAGTTAACAAGTAGGTTAAGTCATGTCTAGGCCACGGGTGCTCAACCTCCAGCCTCTGGGCCAAATGCCACCTGTGGAGCTCTGGTGTCTGGCCTGTGGGGCTCTCTAAGGGTCAGGAAATTTGGCAGCTGGGAATGATGGTAATTAATATTGTGACCCTTATCCACTGCCCAAATCCCAAGCCCCACACAGTGGGTTGGACCCTGCCCAGCAAAGCCACGCTCCCTTCCCTGCCGTACCTGGTTGGGATCACACCTCTTCCCTTCTCCCCCACCCCGGACCCTAAGAGCCTGGATTGGGCCTGGCTGTTCCTGTCCCTCTGCACAGAGGCAGATGGGTCCCTACAGCACCCACTCCAGCAATCAGATTGGATCCATCAGGCAGAAACCTGCCCACTAAAGGACTGGGTACTGCCCATCCAGCCCACTAGCCAATAAAGTCAAGCACCACTGCTCTAGCCTTACTGAATATCCGCTTGTTCAAGTTCAGCCCTATACAATCACTCCAACTGTTTAATTGCAACAATGACGCAACCACCTGCTTAAAAGGAAAAAAAAAAAAGGAAATGAATATAGACTTTCATCAAATTAACCCTAACTGAGAAAGAAACTGAAACACTTACAGATTTAGATTTGGATAAACTGCCCAGTGTTTGTATGGTCTTAGAAATGAGCGTCAAAGTCCTAGAGGTCTGAGGATCCTATGAAGGGGAGAATAGTATAAGACAAAGGACACAAAAAACCCCCACACTCATCGGATAGTCTCTATTCCTCTTAAATAAATATTAACATAAATTTAAAGATATGCCAATGCACACTCTTCATATCATACCGATGCTCACAGCCCTTGGTTGTTCTGAAGAGCTGATAAGTTTCCATACCTCAAAGTGAACATTTAGAACCGATTGTTTTTTACGAACAGTAAAAATGAAGGATTCTGAGACTTCATTTTCAAACCATCTCAGAATGCTTTTGAAATAATCCAATATATTGAGGGCAGAGGTCATTAGGTGTGTGAGTCAGGCAGAACGTGTGGTATGGTAGCACCTTTAGAGACTAATGGGTTCAGAGAAGCATGAGTTTTCATAGGGAACCTACTTTGGTAAATGCTACTCTCTAAGGTGCCACCCAGTACTGCCCAATTCAATACTGATGCAGGACAACTGAAAATGGAGCAGGAGCTACCCTCTCATCAGCAGCTGAGAATGAATTGGGCATACTGTAGACCATGCTTAAATTAAGAGAAGGAGTCTGGCCACAGGGCTGTGTGCTAATATCCAGCCCATGTGGAAACTGTGATGAAACTTATTAAATGGAGGGGGAAGAGTTGCACATATAAATAAAATGTACTTCATTTTTAAGGCAACTAACATGGTGAAACCCCTGTTTTGGTACAAACAAGCAAAGAATGAAGCAGTACAATTTCAGCTTGTGTAGCACTTGACAGAATGGTGGCCCCTTCATTTCACACATGAATCTTTTGCTTGCCAGAGCTCAACACCAGCAAAAAAACCCACAATCTTGCATATGTTACAGGACCCTGAACCTGCTGGCAAACAGGAAGAAGCTAAATAGTACCCAAGGGCTAGTTTATACTAAGGAGCATCTTTCAAAGTAGGTTCTCAAACAACATAAGCTAAGCCACAAAAACCTCACTCTTCCATTGGTGTATCTGTGTCCACATAGTGAAGTTGCCAGTGGGTGCGTCTACACATGCGCCTGACTTCATAGTTGTTACTGCGCAGTCATTTAGTATGTGCTTTAGCTTGTCTTAGTGCTAAATGATGATGTAGTAACTGGCATTACTGCGCAGTCCCAGGGGTGCACAGGTCACTTCTGACCCTACTGCACAGTAGCATCAGCATCACGGTTCATGTCCACTGATGCTATGTCACCATAGCAATGAGCTATGTTGCCATAACTCATTACTACAGCGATGTAGTGTCTTGTGTAGATGCACCCAGTATAGCTAAGTTGGCTAGGCACATGATAAAACCATACCCCCTACCCAATGCCATCTTTGTTGTATAGATGTGGCCTAAAACAAGAGCCTTTACTGGAGCTAAACTACAGAAATTACCCCCATGAGAGATGAGAATGACCACAGGGCTCACCACATTCAAAACTAAACAAAAACCTCATTTCAAACTCCAGTCTAAGCTTTTTACATACCCAGTCACCCAACATAATCTACTCATATGCAAAACAAATATATAACAAACTTCTAGACTATATCAAGCTGTTCCTCCTGAAGGCTGTAAATAAGTAATTAGTAGAATACATGGCAGAGGCTCTTCCTATGGCAAATGGTCTACATAAATACCTAGATAAGTAAATACAGTACTTACTGGATGGTGTGGTGTAAGTTGAAAGAGATTTGGGGAAAGAATTGCAGGAGCAAAGAACCTCAGGAAAATAAAGCTGCTAACAGCTGTGTACCTTACATCTAGGTCACCTATAACAGAGACAACCCCACTCATTATCTCAATAGATACTTTACAGAGAACTTTCAGTGCTAATGTCAGAAATGCTTTCAGAGAGTTAGTGTGTAGATATCTATTTATTCATAAATTATGGGATAATCAGATAAAGGAGGACATTTGGAGCCAAATATCAGCTGTTGATAAAGCAATGAAAAAAAACCAAGGTGAAGGCTACCTCCCTATATGAGAATGCAGGATTTATGACATGGATTGTCTACGGAAAACTAGTCTCCTTGTGCAGGAAAGTCATATTGAAATGTGATATCTGAATTAATCAGCCAAAGTATATGGATAATTTTCATAGATCATAAGCAGCTCAGTCCAGAGACTGCCTCTCAATAACAATGTGGGGCACTTAGCACAAACCTAAGAATAGTGCACTGAACGGATAAAGAGCATAATATGCCAATCAATGAAATGTTGTTGAGATTCTTCTATTCTGAAAGTGACTATGTAAAAATAGCACACTTATGCAAAGGATGTGCTCTTTGTACACATGCAGTCAAATTTGTCTACTTTAATGAAAAAAATAAAGGGGTTTGGCTTTATGTTGTGTTTGTTCCTGCAGAGGGAAGAGAGTAGAATAGATTCTATTTCTTTTTGTGTCTCATCAACAAAATGTACTGAGCTACAGCTGTGCAAATCTACTGTTGGGCTTGTACTGATGTCAGGAATTTAAAATTTGGCCTTTATTATAGGTTCATGTAGAAATAGAAAAGAATGCAGCTGAAGTGTCAGATTTTATGAGTTTCCAGAGCTAGCTGTTTCAAAATTATTTGTCCCTGAAAACAGCTGCTACACACGTATGCATCTCTACTTGCCATTTTACCACATCATGTTTCAGAGCAGAACAACACTGAAGGAAGATCTGGTACATCATTAAAAGTCTTGCTATTTGTGCATCGAGGAAAATACCTTATGGCTGCACGCACCCTAAATGGCATCAGGTGTGAAATGTATTTTTAACCACTTCCACCTGTGACAGTAAATAATAATTCTTGAAAATCATCTAAAGTAAAGTTTGAAAAGCTAGACTGAAACTCACCTTGAAAACGTTTGGCAGCTGATTCTCTCAGTGAAAAGAAAATATCACACATCACCGTAGGACAGCTTACACCAGATTTCGTAATAACAGTAAAAATGCGGTCAACATACTGCCTCAGATTTTCCTGAAACAGTGAACATGTGCATTAAACTGATTTTTTTTAAATGAATTGTTTTCCTTCCATAAAAAGCAAGGCTACTTCATTTTTCTAGTGGCATATGCATTTTTTTTTGGTAACAGAAGACAGACCAATCTGCAGTGGATACCCTCCTTGATCAGGCATTCCACAAAGTAGAGGGCTGAAAGTACAGTGTTATTACTACCCACAAATATGGATATCAAGTAAAACTGTATTCTGAAAAGCATGTAATTATGTTTTTGTAAAATAAAATTATCTTGCTGGAACCATTGGTTAAGGGGTCCATTCTTCTACTGTTACACTGCACATCCATTTAGTCAAGTGGTATACCAACAAGCTGTGTACTTCTTTGCTTGTTTTACATTTTATAAATATCACACCTCAGACTATCACAACTGCTATAACAGCCATAGGAGAAGCACTCGCATCACAGCCCTGTCAGATTCTAACAGATCTGCAAATCCTGCTAAATATCCTTCATCAACAATCTCAGACAGGACACAAGAGGAGGAGGAAAAAAAAGGATTTCAGCACTGCATCTTATAGCTAACCATGGAGCTGATATACGATACACTCACATGCATTTCTATCAGATTAAAAGTGTCCAGTGTTAACCAAAGTCTGAAAGCCTCCCTGGCAACTCCAAATATGTGAGGACCCCAGTGAGAAAGAACATCAACTATCACAAGCCTACCCTGTTATTTTCCAGATTTTCACCATCTTTTAATTTCACAGGATCAATTTCACAAGGCTTATGGACCTGGCAGATCTAAAATAAAACACATAATGAACAATTAATATACTAGTTCTCCTCTGAAGGTAAAAATCCTGTAACAGATTATTTAAAAAGGTAGTTATCTTGGGTAAAGAGCAGTATCCAAACTTTATATTAGATTTTTTTTCTTTTGGTAAAACTTCACATGTAAGCTATTTATTATTTTTAATTTTTCCAAACTCTTCCATTATATTTTTTCTGCAATATTTTTCTACATCTAACACGAAGGAGGTTTTTCTTCAACCCCTCCCAATTCATTTAAGAAAACACATCATGCACCAAAAAGAAAGTATTGTAAAACTACTCTTAGGGAAAATATTTCTTGATGTGACATCACAGTTAACAGCTGAACTAAGAAAGTGCTAAATCATTTACAAGGAAGTATGTGGTCCAAATAGTTGTTTAATTACAGCAATGGAAGAAACTGCAATACTGGACTGGAGAGATAATAGCACACTGCCACACTTCAAGCTGTCACATATGCAGTAATCTAGGATTAATCATATTCATTTAAAAACTACAGGATGACATGTGTTCTTCATGGATTTCCGGCTACTTTCTGATGTGATGTTTTGACTTTTGTAGGTTTTTATTTTTTTTCCCCCAGAACATAAGCAGTAGGTTTTATAAGACAGGAAACTTGTTTTTAGACCTAGTTAAAATGAATTTTTTTTTGTCTGTCTTTAAAGCTAGTTGACTGTTCATGAACTGGGTGAATCACTGGATAAGTAAATGTTGCAAGGCTTTCATGTAAAAACATGAACACTAGCTGGACAAAGCAATTTTAAAATGGCAAGAAGCAAACAATACCTACTCCTAGGCAGCCTCTGAGGCTGAAATTTTATCAAACAATCTTTCTTGCTCTTACCTCATCTATAATTGGCTTTAGTGTAACTTGAAGATAATGCATCCCTGCCAGCTTCATTGTCTCATCAATGCACTTGGAAGTTAATGAATTTCCTCTGAAAATGGTGTTTGGGTCTCTGGAAAGGAACAATTTTCTATAATTTAGTCTTTCTCTAACAAAATAACCAGTGTATGGAAATAAAAGCAGCAATGAAAGGTGATTAAAAGCTGGGGGGGCGTTTAATGAGCAAGTGTATATTCTTTTGACCGTGGCCTAAGGGCTGCCATTAAATGCATTATGTTTGGTATAATCCCACATTGGAACAGGGGAGGGAAGAGTGGAAGCAATCAACATGAGATTGTCAAGGACTGAAGATTTTGTCAACAATTCCTTATTTGTATTAAGATAGTTTGAAAAAGCCGTATTGCACTACACATACACATGTAAAAACACAGACCCTGCCCAAAGGGTCTTATAATTCAAATGAAAAAAAATGTGCGTGGGGGAAGAATATCTGTGTTGTCATGCACTACCTGCCAGCTTTTCCCACACAAAAGTATTTGTGGGGCTAGGCAATAATCAGTCTGAATGATGTAAGTGACCTTTTGTAGCTGAACTACACTTATCCTATGATTTGCCTATTGTCTGCTACATATACCATAATTCCCATGGAGGTGGGACCTTATGACTCATGTAGAATCCCATTCCCTTTCATAAAAATCATTGATGAAGTTTCGTTTACAGGTCTGGATACATAAAAAGAGCAGAGGATTGGCTATGTTTGTTAAACCTAGTTGCACAGCTGCAGTACACTGGTTTGTGCATCAGGTCGAAAGACAAGCATCTTCACCTTTTAAGTCAATCTTATTGTTAAAAAGGTGATTAAGGAAGACTTCCTGGACATGGGAGAAAGCAACTGTTACATTAAATCACTATTTACATAGACACAACTACATTTGTCTTTTGGGGCTGCTTTCTACACCTTCCCTTTGTGGCTTCTTAGTACCTCTTCTACTTTGTGGAGGCCTTATTACAACCCTTTTGATATATTGCTTGCAACACTGATAAACAGTCTGGTCACCTGGGGTTGAATGATGAACAGTGAAGGAAGCCACAAATACCACTCCCAAACCTGTGAACAATTTCTGTGGGGCTCTTTGCTCAACCGTTTTTTTTTTCAGCAAGACTTGTCAACCCTCCCAAAGTAGCAGGTTTTTATACACAGAAACTAGAACATTTCCCCTAAAAAAAAAAAAAAAAAAAA